ATTCATTGAAGAGGATACCAAAAATCTGACTTATTAGGCTCCATTCACACTAGGGTGTTTCAAATCGCTGGCAGAATTGCCGCAATTCTGCCCACGATTTGAAAACATGCTCTGAAATGCACATTCGCATGTTCAGGTGCCATTTATTTCAATGGCACGTGAAAACATGGGGCATTTTTGCCATGATCACATGGAAACCATGCCACGATCGCGCAAACCAAATCGCGGGACGCCCAAAAAAGGTTCTGGAATTATTACTCTCACTCTGACATTCACAGCGATACCTCACATGTGTGGTGTAAACACCATTTACATGTATGCTTTCTCCACTGTGCATGAGTACGGGGGGGGAGGGGGGGATGGAGGCGCTTTGTAAAAAAAATGTATTTTGACCGCAAATCTCTCTACCTTTGAAAGCAAAAAATAAAAAAAAGATCTGTTTTCTTTATCTTTTGCTTAAAAAAAAAATGGCATGGTTGACATGGTGCCTGAACCAGAAGTGATGTCATGACGTCGCTCTGGTCCACCTAGGCCACAGAGATGATTGAAGATCATCTTTCCTTCACTCATCTCTATGACTTGCCTCTGCCAGCACTGGATTGGTTCCTGGAGCTACCAATTGTGCAGGTAAGCCCAGGAACCACCGGAAAGAAGAGGGAAATGGGGGGTGACCCCTCCAGCAGCTTCTAAAAGTGATCTAGCGGCAAATCCACTGCTTGGATCACTTTTAAAAAAAAGTTTGGCACCTAAGGGAAAAAACAATACCGGGTTATGGCAGCTTGCTGCAGCCAAACACCCGGTATTAATTGTCAAAAACATGACGTATGTTCCCAGTTATGCAAGTGGTTACACTCACTGGTCACTCTATTAGGTACACCTGTTCAATTGCTTGATAACACAAATTACTAATCAGCCAATCACATGACAGCAACTCAATGCATTTAGGCATCTAGATATGGTGAAGACGACTTGCTGAAATTCAAACCAATCATCAGAATGGGGCAGAAAGGGGATTTTAGTGACTTTGAACGTGGCATGGTTGTTGGAGCCAGACGGGCTGGTCTGAGTATTTAAAAAACTGCTGATCTACTGGCATTTTCATGCACAACCATCTCTAGGGTTTACAGAGAATAGTCTGAAAAAGAGAAAATATTCAGTGAGCGGCAGTTGTGTGGATGAAAATGCCTTGTTGATGTCAGAGGAGAATGGGTAGACTGGTTCTAGGTGATAAAAAGGCAATAGCAACTCAAATAACCACTCATGACAACCAATGTATGCAGAATACCATCTCTGAATGCACAACATGTCAAACTTTGAAGCAGATGGGCTACAGCAGCAGAAGACTACACCGGGTGCCACTCCTGTCAGCTAATAACAGAAAACGGAGGCTATGATTTGCATCAAAATTGGACAATAGAAGATTGGAAAAACCTTGCCTGGTCTAATGAGTCTCAATTTCAACTGTGACATTCAGATGGTATGGTCAGTATTCGTTGTAAACAACATGAAAGCATGAATCCTTCCTGCCTTGTATCAACGGTTCATGGATGTGCAGCAGACAAATCTGCAGCAACTGCCTGATGCTGTCATGTCAGTATGGACCAAAATCTCAGAGGAATGTTTCCAACACCTTGTTGAATCTATCCCACGAAGAATTAAGGCAGCTCTGAAGGAAAAAGGGGGTCCAACCCGATACTAGCAAGGTGTACCTAATAAAGTGGCCGGTGAGTGTACATTATAACATTTTCCTTTAGATTTACCAAAAACCATATAATTTGGTTATGGTCAAACCTAAACAATACTTTCAATTGTGTCCAGTTGGGTAGGCCCTTGCTCTTCATAATTAGACTCCATGCACATTGGGCATTTAATAACGCTGGTAGCGTTAGCTGTGTAAAGTCACATTAAAAATGCAAGTTTTTCAGCCGTTTTTAGCTTTTTTGCATTAAAGTTTAACCGCGTTTTGCCAAAAACACTGCTTGCTGCGTTTTTCAGCATTAGGGCATTTTTACAGCTAAAAAAACTCCTCTAGAAACCCACTAGTCCTGGGTTTTTTTTTCAGTCAAAAAACGCCCCTGCCAATAAATGCTTATTACAGCCTATGTGTGCATGGACACAAAGGATAACATGCTGGGCAGTTTACTGGCTGTAGAAAAAAACACCAAATGCCAAAACAGCCGCTGTAAAAATGTCCAATGTGCATGAGCACTTAAAAGTAAATCTAAAGGAAGTTGTACAGAACATTGTAGGATGTATGGTCAGCCTAATGCCCCATACACACGATAAGGAAATCGTACGAAAAAATTTTGCGTAACCACTGATCGAACGATTTTCTCTTCGTTGATGAGCAGGATGTTACCGATAACGATATTGTGAACTAAAAAATCCGGTTGAACAACAGTTAAAAATGTTGTTGTTTCGCATACAAACGACCGATTTTCTATGCGGTGGTATGACGGTTGTACAAAAAAAATCTATCAAGTGCTATCACGCATGAGCGGAAACAGAAGATGACCCGGGTGTTAATGGGCAAGGAATCTTTGTAAACACGAAGGAAAATCCAAATGTTAAAAGTAGATTGGCCTAATGAGATAATGAATGTCGTGTGTACGGGGGCATTACACTTCAAACGAGTGGAAAAACACCCTTTTTACTGCAATCAGCTGAAGTAAAATTGTATTGGGTTCAACTTTTGTGTCTTATTGAAGAGTTAAGCTGCCTGTGGATAGTGCCACGTCAGCAGGTACCCATACTGTTTGGGCAGACTGGTTATAAGGAGGTATGTCAATGCATAAAGCGGCATTAGAAACAGAACAGTGTTTCCTGGATAGCACAGAAGCTCACTGATTCGTTTTACTTGTCTAGAGTTACGTTCTATTTTTGTTTTCAATAATCCGCCATCACCTCTTGTCACCCTACAGCATCCTCTGGCACAGTCTATCCATGGAGGCAGTTCTATTTCATACCCCAATTATCATTTAGTTGATTCCTGTCTTTCCTGTATCAGAAGTGCAGGGACAGCTGTCATGACTTGCCTGAGCGGTAATCAAGGCTGTGTGCGGGAAGACGTGTGACTCACAGAGCAGATACAGCTGTGACATGCCTGTCAGGATTCTGCTTCCCTGTACATTGTATGTCTAATGTAGAAATGCCGCCCATTCTGACCAGAGTTTGCCTTCATTTTCTGCACTGGAGAGGTAACCTGATTGCTGCGGGCAGTATGAGCCCATTCCTATAGAGAGTCCTAGGCCTTGTCATCATACATGTACAAGCCAGCCTGATCCTTGACAGTGACAGAAGACACCCAGCGTTCTACTCATCGCACCCATTCTCGGGTCCCATGATTCCTCTCATTCACCAGAGACCAGATCAGGCCCTCTTCGCTGCCTTGATGCTCAGCGTCCTATTTTCCAGCATCTTCACACGTATAAGCAATGATGTCCTGAGGCAGATGCGGGGGGTGTGTGCCACACAGGGTGGACACCTACCGCACGGGGGTGACACCGGACCCGCTCCATGAAAAGGTAAGTTGTAAAGCAAGCCAACGATCCTCGCAGGATGGATCTCATCCATCCTGCGGGGATGATCGCCTTGCTTTACAACTTACCTTTTTGTGGAGCGGGTCCGGTGTCACCCCGTATAGGTTGCATGCCGACGATCCCCGCAGGATGGATCGGATCTGCGGATTGGGGAGCATAATGGATCAGACTCCGATCCATTATGCTCAATCCGCATATCCGAAAAGGTAAGTTGTAAAGCAAGGCGATGATCCCCGCAGGATCGTGGAGTGGGTGCGGTGTCACCCCCCGTATAGGTTGCATGCCGACGATCCCTGCAGGATGGATCGGATCTGCGGATTGGGGAGCATAATGGATCGGACTCCGATCCATTATGCTCAATCCGCATACCCGAAACCATCCTGCGGGGATCGTCGGCATGCAACCTATACGGGGTGACACCGGACCCACTCCACGATCCTGCGGGGATCATCGCCTTGCTTTACAACTTACCTTTTCAGATATGCGGATTGAGCATAATGGATCGGAGTCTGATCCATTATGCTCCCCAATCCGCAGATCCGATCCATCCTGCGGGGATCGTCGGCATGCAACCTATACGGGGTGACACCGGACCCGCTCCACAAAAAGGTAAGTTGTAAAGCAAGGCGATGATCCTCGCAGGATGGATCGGATCTGCGGATTGGGGAGCATAATGGATCGGAGTCCAATCCATTATGCTCAATCTGCAAGATCCGATCCATTCTGCGGGGACCGTCAGAGGGGGTGTCACCAAGTGTTATCACACTGGGTGACACCAACCCTAGGGACGCCCCTGCATATAAGTCCAGGTTCACACTACTCCAGCTGCGACTTGATCCAATTTTTAATGTGATCATGTAGCGTGACTTTGTTTGCATTTTGGATTTTGTTGGCAAATTTTATGGGGCCAAAATCCTGTAGCACAGGACCCTTATCTGCATTTGCACCGTGCTGAGTTGCTTTGATGAAAACGGGCATCATTGAAAATAAAGTGATTTCCATTGTCACGTGATTCTGTGCGACTCAGTCGCATCTAAAATCACACCAGTGTGAACCAGGCCTAAAAAATCTGTAACTGCATCATTTGCAGCTCAGGTTCCCTAATACTTCACAATAGGTGCATGTGTAATATTTTACATAATTCAGTTTGTCATTAGATTGTAAGCTCTTATGAGCAGGGCCCTCCTAACCCCTTTTTTTTTTAAATGTATTGTAAGTGTATTGTCTCCCTTTATATTGTACAGCTCTGTTGTTGCTATATAAATCCTGTAATATGACCATAAAACATGACACAGCACCACTTCACTGCGATAATGTTGTAAATCTCAGTGTCACTTGTTATCCTGTATATATGAAGGTTAGGCAGTAGCGCTTCTCTTGTTCTGTATGTTTGGTAGAAATCTCAGATTCTGTATATATGGATGCTGCATGGGGCCATTTCTGTTGTGTTCTATGCTGTGTGTGTGTAATTCTCAGTATCTGATCTCTTTCTGTATGTATGGACACCGCACAGTGCCACTTCTGTTGTCTTTGATGATGTGTATAATTCTCAGTACCTGTTCTTATTCTGTATATATACAGGTGAAACTTAAAAAATTAGAATATTGTGCAAAAGTTCATTTATTTCAGTAATGCAACTTAAAAGGTGAAACTAATATATGAGATAGACTCATTGCATGCAAAGCAAGATAGTTCAAGCCGTGATTTGTCATAATTGTGATGATTATGGCTTACAGCTCATGAAAACCCCAAATCCACAATCTCAGAAAATGAGAATATTACATGCAATCAATAAAACAAGGATTGTACATAGAACAATATCGGACCTCTGAAAAGTATAAGCATGCATATGTACTCGGTACTTGGTTTGGGCCCCTTTTGCAGCAATTACTGCCTCAATGCGGCGTGGCATGGAAGCTATCAGCCTGTGGCACTGCTGAGGTATTATGGAAGACCAGGATGCTTCAATAGCGGCCTTCAGCTCTTCTGCATTGTTCGGTCCCATGTCTCTCATCTTTCTCTTGGTAATGCCCCATAGATTCTCTATGGGGTTCAGGTCAGACGAGTTTGCTGGCCAATCAAGCACAGTAATCCCACGGTCGTTGAACCCAGTTTTGGTGCTTTTGGCAGTGTGGGCAGGTGCCAAGTCCTGCTGGAAAATGAAGTCAGAATCCCCATAAAGCTCGTCTGCGGAACCAAGCATGAAGTGCTCCAAAATCTCCTGGTAGACGGCTGCGTTGACCCTGGACTTAATGAAGCACAGTGGACCAACACCAGCAGATGACATGGATCCCCAAATCAACACAGACTGTGGAAACTTCACACTGGACTTCAAGCATTCTGCAGTGTGTGCCTCTCCATTCTTCCTCCATACTCGGGGTCCTTGGTTTCCAAATGAGATGCAAAAGTTGCTCTCATCAGAAAAGAGGACTTTGGACCACTGAGCAACAGAACAGGTCTGTTTTTCTTTAGCCCAGGTAAGACGCTTCTGATATTGTTTGTTGTTCAGGAGCGGCTTGACAAGAGGAATACGACATTTGAAGCCCATGTCCAGGATCCGTCTGTGTGTGGTGGTTCTTGATGCACTGACTCCAGCCTCAGTCCACTCCTTGTGAAAGTCCCCAACACTTTTGAATGGCCTTTTCCTGACAATCCTCTCCAGGCTGCGGTCATCCCTGCTGCTTGTGCACCTTTTTCTTCCACACTTTTCCCTTCCACATAACTTTCTATTAATGTGCTTTGATACAGCACTTTGGGAACATCCAACTTCTTTTGCAATTACCTTTTGAGGCTTTCTCTCCTTATGGAGGGTGTCAATGATGGTTTTCTGCACAACTGTCGGGTCAGCAGTCTTTCCCATGATTGTGATTCCTACTGAACCAGACTGAGAGACCATTTAAAGGCTCAGGAACCCTTAGCAGGTGCTATGGCTTAATTAATTAGCTGATTAGAGTGGGACACTTTGAGCCGAGAATATTGCACCTTTTCACAATATTCTAATTTTCTGAGATTGTGGATTTGGGGTTTTCATGAGCTGTAAGCCATAATCATCACAATTATGACAAATCACGGCTTGAACTATCTTGCTTTGCATGTAATGAGTCTAATATATTAGTTTCACCTTTTAAGTTACATTACTGAAATAAATGAACTTTTGCACAATATTCTAATGTTTTGAGTTTCACCTGTAGATGCTGCATTATTTCACTTGTCCTTTATGCTGGGTGTATATCTATTCTACATGTATAGATGCTGCACAGTACCACTTTTCTTCTGTATATTGTGTGCTATTCTAGGTATCTGTTCTTTTTCTATATGTATAGACTCTGCATAATAGTATTTCTCTTTTTCTGTATGCTAAGTGTAATTCTCAGTATGTGTCATTCTGTATATATAGATTCTGCACAGTACCACTTCCTTTGACCTGTATGCCAGGTGTAATTCTCGATATCTGTTCTTATTCATTATGTATGGACTCTCCACAGTACCACTTCTTTTGTCCTGTATGCCAGGTGTAATTCTCAGTATCTGCTTTTATTCATTATGTATGGACTCTCCACAGTACCACTTCCTTGGTCCTGTATGCTGGGTGTAATTCTCAGTACCTGTCATTCTGTATGTATGGACTCTGCACAGTACCACTTCCTTTGTCCCGCATGCCGGGTGTAATTCTCAGTATCTGTTCTTATTCATTATGTATGGACAGTTCCACTTCTCTTAGGGCTAGTTCACACTAGAAGCAGTCCAGTGCGCTTTTTTTCTGCATCAAAAATGCATGCACGGTGTTTTCCATGTATTCTAATGGCCCTAGTTCACACCAGTGCAGTCAGTTCCAGTCAATTTCCGATGCAAATAAAAAAGTAGAACATGCTGCATTTTTTTCTGCACAGAACCATACTGGAACATAGCAAACTGCATCAAAACTGCACTGGAATGAAGTGTGGTGTGAACTGTAAGCAAAAACATTCAGAATGCATCCGGAGTGCGCTTTTGTAGTGTGACCTAACTCTAAATCTTTATGCTATATGTATTTCTTGGTATTTGCTTTTTATCTGTATGTATGGACGTCGCACAATAGCACTTCTGTTGTCTTTTATGATGTGTGTAATTCTCAGTACCTGTTCTTATTCTGTATGTATAGATGCTGCATAGTATCCTCTTATCCTCTGTGCTGGGTGTATATCACAATATCTGTTCTTATTCTACATGTATAGATGCTGCACAGGACCACTTCTCTTCTTTTGTATTCTGGGTACTATGCTCAGTATTTGTTCTTATTCTGTTTATGGACATGTAACACCCTGCAGAAATACTGTTTGCAGGATGTTAAATGGACACAAGATGGCAGTATTCTGCAGCCCAGTTACGCTGACTCTGTTGAAAAGCTTTGTGGGATTCATAGGCAGTTTTGCAGGACTTCACTGTCTGACATGGAGTTAGCAAACAATTTCCCAGAGGAGCTGACGAACGGGCGGGGGCAGATAAACACAGAAGCCTGAGAACCAGAGGACAGGAAGTGAATGGAGAGGGCTGGAGAGCAGGTGTAAAGAGAAGACTGTGTGGGACACCAGAGGTCCAAGCTGGGCCAGACCACAGAGAGGGGAGGAATTGCTGACGGCTGACAAGTCTGGTGGACAGTCCTGCGAGCAGGAGGGCCAGAGTGCTGCTATGCAGAGTGATCTCTAAAAAGAGGAACCACAAGGAAACGAGGGCCCCCGTCTACAGAGAGACTTTCCACCACCTGTCCGAGGCCACAGACTGGGGACTGGGTGAGAGAATTCCATATTCAAGCCATCCAAGTTGTAAATGACATTACCCAGTTCAGTTATCTTCTATGCATCTTGATTACTTTCAGTTTCCAGTTCCATGTTTTAAGGCCTAAGTTGTTTGGCTTGCTAGCTATCACAGTCCAGCATATCCAATCACAGAGGCCTACTGCACTATCCTCCAGAAATCTGCAGGCCCAGCTGTATTATTGCTCTTATTACAGTATTCCCATTTGCTATGGAGCTCCTGCATTGCTGCACTTTGCCACTGTGGCCAAAGGAAAAGCCCAACTCCACAGAAGTGTGTTTTGCCCATTTCTACTTACTGACAAATTTTAAACTTTATCCTGTGTGTGCCAAAGGGATATCTGAAAGCAACATCACTTAAAGGGGCAGCTCCTTCTCTTTGTGTTTACACCCTATTAAGGAACCTCTGCCTCAAGGAGGATTTGAATCCTTATGTGCACCAACTAGGACCCCATCAAGCGTGAAGAAGACCAAACACTGCAGTTAAAGGGACATTAGTCTATTTACTTCAAGAGTTTTTTTTTTCCTTCAGAACTGACTCAGCTCTCAGCCATCGAGAGCCCAAAGTGAGTTATATCTGCTTGATAGTTTTTTTTATGACTCACTGGGGAAGAAACCTCTCAGTACTGGGGCCTTCATTTACATTCTGAAATGCAGAACTGATTGAGATTATGCTATGTTGTGACCTTTACGTGAAGTTACTAGAGTGACAGCTGTTATCATATGCATATATTTTCCTGTTGCTTTACTGTGCTTACATTTGATTTCAATACAACCAGAATATCAGTTCACTCTAAATTGTGAGACTATTTTATGGTTGCAGCCAGAGGATTCATCTGGACAGAGGTTTAAAGGTGGTGTCAGCAGGAATTGGGCTTTCAGAGCGGGATCAAGAAAGACAAGGAACTCAAAAATTACATAGCTGCCCCTGAGGGGGTAATGCTGCAGATGCCACATAGTAGCACTTCTTTTGTTCTGTATGCTAAGTGTAATTCTCAGTATCTGTTCTTATTCATTATGTAGGGACTCTGCACTATCACTTCTCTGATTGCCCTATAAACATTTCTCCCAGGTTGACATCTATGACAAGGAACTGCTTTTGTTGTCTATTACTCTCAGTTTATTCCTTAAGCACTGCAACACATGAGTATGAAAAAAAAAACCCCACCCAGCGCAATGGACCTCCTACGAAACAAATATTGCAGCTAGCATGTAATGTGTTACCACATGTAAACCATAAATCAAAAAAATGCAGCGCAGTATGTGACGAACGCGGCGTCAGACCCCTGACCTTCTCACCAAACTCGTGACCGAAGGACTGGCCAATCTAAAACCGTGATGTCACGTGCATAACAATGCCTCGCCCAGCTGCACCCTGCACAATGATTTTCCAGCTAATTGGACCACAATCTATGTACCGGCAGCCTGGGAGCGATTGTTACTGGGTCAGGTTAATTACACAATTAACCCTTCACACTGCCACCACCTCCTTTTTGTACAGAGAAAGAGGAAACTCAGCGATATCCGCAATAACACTATAATGGTTGAGGTAATTGTCTGTATAACACGGTCACCGCAGGCTGGTTATACAGAGGGTTGAACAAACACAGTAGCGCTCTTTTTAGAGGCAAGAATTCGGAAATTGCAATAAAGAGCTATAGAAACAGTTCAACACTTTCAGAAGGAAAGATTTATTACTAAAAGGTCAAAAGGGTGCAATAAAAATGTTTACAGAAAAAAGATGTAACCAATATATATAAATATACAGAGAGCAACAGCACAGCAAAGAGATATTAGAAATAAGTTAGAGGGTTAAAGTACTTGCCAAAGTCCTGGGTTAGCAGATCAAGTTTCAGAGCAAAAGGGTACGGGTCTCACAAGTTGGTTCTGATGTTAAACAGGAGAATTCTTCAACTTAACTCTCTTAGGCCTGACAGCTCATTTTGTAGTTCCCCAGCAGGGGGTGTCTCTGAAGTCAAGGACCAATACCCCGTTTAGGGCGTGAAGGTCTGGGCGTAGACCTAAACTAGAGCCAAAATCTCTTTTAGTTCATATTTTGGCTCCTAACTTTCCATCTGCACAAGTGACACTCCACCCGCGGGTAGATTATTATGCAGACACGTCTGAGGATTGATTAGATATGAAATTATACATTGAATGGTTCACAAGATCTACGTTTCTGCTTTCCTATGTATTCCAGCCAAGGAGAGTGACCTATCATATTGTTCATCTCTTCTTGGTTAATCTGATGATATGCCTGGTTTTTATGTAAGTCCCTCATATTCCAAGGTATAGGGGAAAAATGGATTTTAAAAGTGCTAACTGGGCTGTGCTTGAACTCCTGAGAAGACTTGCATTAGCTTTTACGAGGTGTTATATTTCACAGCTTTCTTAGACAGCCAGGTGCTTAGCTTGGGAGAGGTGTATAGCTCTGGGCTCCCTGCTGGGCTCTGGCCTGCCTGTGACACTTCCAGCACACACACACACACACTGGCCAAATGTCTCTGTGACTCTCAGAGGGGGGGGGGGGGGGGAGAATGAGGGGAGAACAGGGAAAATTCTTAACAAAATGGAGGGTTGGAGCAAAATGGTTGAATCGCGTCCATCTCTGTGTGTACGCTTGCTACACAGTACTAATAATAATCCATTGTACTCACATTTAAAAGTGTCCACCTGCGACACCGCAGGGTAAAACTCACTGTACTGTGTAACTGTAGAATAAAGTGCAGGAATCCCTTATCCAAAATGGCAGCACGTGCATTTCCGGTTTGCGGCTTGACATTGGCGTACCCTACGCGTTACGTCACATCACGTCATGTCACGTGTATTTGTGTACACTATTCATTTAGCACTGGTATATGCAGTTCTATGGGTATTTATAAGTATGTGTTGATATATATTTGATGTAGCACATATTATTGTCACTAAGCACAATTTTTGTTTTCACTATTCATTTATGCACGTTGGATATTAGTAGCACTGTATTTGAGTTTATAGTACTGCGCCGCATTATTTTGATTTACTGCAACACATGAGTTGTCATATGTTGCATTGCAGTGCGTTAAATAACCCATTAAAAATTGGTCTAAAACACACCACAGCATGCGAAAATGGGGCAGGCTGCATATTCCAGCAGTGCAGTGCGCAGGACACTGAGTGTTATACCTTGCACTGTGGTACGTTTTAGAACACCTAGGTTTTCAGGGTGCGATGAGGTGCCAATTGCAACGAATGGTACCACAATGCACATCACAAGGCTTAACAAAAATAAATACAAATATTCTCCTGCGCTACCTAATTAAAATAAATACATATAATTTAATATAGTTGTTAAAATGGGGAGCTGCTGCTAGCATTAAATTGTGTTCCCACAACAAAAACAAATGAAATAAATGCTGCACTGCAAATACATTAATCAAAATAGTAATAAAGTGAAAAAAAAATATCTATAGAGTAAACAAAACAAAGAAAACAATGTCCATAAAGCAAGTCCATATAAGTGAAATGATCGGTAGTGATTCAAATCGTATAATTCTTCACAGCTTATAAAGCTTCTTCTTGTGCTCATAAACCAACACCATCAAATAAAGTGCTAGGAAGTATGCAGGTGGTGTCACCTCAGTGCTCACAGAACTCTCACCTCAGAGCAATTAAATTGTCCTTTGTACTACCAAATAGGTAAAGATTCCTTCACTCTCCCGATCATCACCCATATAGAAACGGTCAGACACCTTTTATGCTTTTAATACACCATCAAGCCAGAAATGGGGACCGGTCCCTTTAAGGGGGTTGGTGGTCTGAGATTATAGTTTGTTTGCACACATATGAATCTTCCTATTTCTCTAGTCTATCAGGGATGGAGATAGAGGCAATATGATGGTCATATGATCTCCAGACTTCACAGGAGGAAAACTCTAGATCTCTTCTGCTGCCACTTCCACCAATGTCTCCTCTCTACTTTGTAACACATGGAACCTCCATTTACCATGCATTGCGTTAATGCATCCTGTACCGCAGCACAGTGGTGTGAATGGCTGCCTAAAGTGATATTAAACTCTCAGTTTTTAAGCACTTTCAGCAGCTGATTTAGTGGGTATGCAGCTTCTTTATCTTTTATACCTTGCACAGGGGCGGACTGACAACTCATGGGGCCCCCGGGCAATAGGGGGGGATCATGGGCTCTCTGTACTTATAGCTGACAGGGTGGTGGTTGGTACAATGATTCAGCTTTTATTTATTTTTGTAAAACCCTGTGTCCTCACCAACACCCAAAAAGCCTATGAAAAAGCCAATGAAAGGCACGAGGGGCATCTCATGGGGCCCCCTACTGACCCCGGGCCCTCGGGCAGTGCCCGAGTGTTCGAATGGTCAGTCCGCCCCTGACCTTGCATATGCTTCAGTTTAAGTTGGTGCCATGACCGCTGCCTCAGGTTTCCTGTTTCAGGGTGGTTCCATTCACTTGTAGGGTCCTATAGAGACACCTTTGCATAGAGAGACTAGAGCTGTCTCTCCCTATACTGTGTGCATCAATAGAAATACACAGCCCCATAGCCTAGGATGGCAAGGCAAACCCCTGCTCCTCCCTTTTCTTTGCCAAGTTAACAGACTGACTGGAGACCTCACTGTTAACATTTTCCTATGAAGACCAGAAGTTCAGGCAAGCAGCACGGAGAGAACAGGAGCCAGCAACATTAAAAGTTGTAAAAAAGTTAAAACATAGAAGGTTTAATATTACTTTAATGATCTTGTGTTGCCCTAGGCTTCCTACTTATACTGTAATAGTGCACAACCCACATGGAAGAAAAATATATTTGAAACATATATTTGAAAAATATTCTTCCCAAATACATTGACATATATTAGAAATACTACAATTTTGGCCATATTCAATATATATTTCAATAAAAATATATATACTGTATATTGAAATGCATTTTTATTACAAAATATATTAAAAATATTT